TCGACGGTACTTGTGCGGGTTTTTTTTTCTGGACATTAGGATGAGATGGGAGCGAATGCTGTGGCGGTAATTTGACTCGTAGGGGTAGATGATGAGGGGAAATTTGCTGACTCGGAGGATGAAATTGAGGATTGGAAGTATGAGGTTTGGGTTGGGAGGCCTGAGGTGCCTGGCGTCGAGGCTGCTGCTTCTTGATGATATGGGTGCTAGTTTTGCTAGAGTCCTGATGAGGATGGGCTATTTCAGTTGAAGTAGTTGGTTCTTGTTTTATTAAATGGGTAGTTTGTTTTGGCAACTCAGGGAAATTTGAAATATTTGCAATTTCTGGTGGCTCGGTGTAAGTTTCTTGATTTAGTTGACTGCACTTTAAGGCTATGTTCTGAGTTCTTAACTTATAGTGTTTTTGTAGACGATGCATCCTTTATAGCTTGCAGGATGGTCTTCGCCACAGAGAGCACATTTAGGAGGCTGGTCTCGAGGGATCTGACAAGTGTTAGATGCGTGTGGCCCGGCACATCTAACGCACCTCGCCTGATGATGGCAATGGGTCTTTGTGTGCCCCAAGTCTTGACACTTGGAGCATTGAACTATGACAGGTTTTTGTATAGTCTGTTCGAATTTTACTGTGGAATACAAAAGCCTCTTAACTTGAAATATGTCAATGTTATTACTTGCAGGCTACAAATCAACCAAAAACACGCATGCTATATGCCTAACGTTATGTCCTATTTCCTCTAGATCAGATTTGATAACGAATATGGGAGTGGTTGAGTGCAATCCTCTCAATACCACCCAATATGCCTTTTCTTGTCTCAGTTGATAACAATGAAATTCATATTTTATAGTCGTAAAATAATTTATCAGTGTTTTATAATTATCTTTAGAGCTCGTGTTAATCTTAATGTCATTAACCCTAGAAAAACAGCGAAAACTGGTTTGTCCGATAAGATTGGCAATTTCTTGAACGAATGAGATGAAATTTTCAATTGTAGAGACAAAAATAGGGGGCGGCTCGGGGTCTGTAAAACCTTGAGGTTCTGGAGGCTTGTTAGGTTGGTTACTACCAAGAACAAAATTATTGCTGCCTGTCGTATTTGGTGCAGTTGGAGCTGTTCTTGTGATGTTTGATTTGCTTCTATTTCTGGGCGGTGATTTTTTTTGCTCGGCAGGCTGTTTAGATTTATTTTGTTCAGCTGTCTGTTTAGATTTTGCTGATATATTTTTTTTTCTTGTTAGGCGAATTGCTACCTGACCCAGGGGCAGAGTTTCTGTGACGTTTTTGAAACAAGCGTCTTTTCAGATATTGCGAGTCAGTTTCGCTAACTTCGGAAAATGGTGCCTCGTCCTCTGAATCTTCACATGAAGAGTTCTCGTCCAAATTCATATTATCCATTTTAATAATAAGAAGAAGAGAAAAGGAAAAAAAAAATATATATATACCTACATATTAAAATTACAAGATAAAAATTTACAAACTATTAAAAAAGAAAAAAAAATACAAACTTAGAAACAGAAATAAAACAAAACATTTCTGAGAATAAATAAACAAGGGGGAAAAATTAAATAAACTGTCTCTGGGAGAAGAAAAAAAATAAGTTCTATAAGTCTTTGGTTTCGAACTGATGGAAACGAGCTAGTGAACCAATCTTGGCCCCGTGAACTTAACATAAATAAGAAAAGAACGGCAAGGGAATTAACAGCCACACAAACGAACCCTAATTTATCACTTGTTAATAAATTGGAACTCACCTCTTTATCCGTGAACTTAAAAATGTTCAACTGTTTATAATGTCACTGTTAATCAATTATTAACACAGAATTTTGACTAATAAACACATAGCAAAGTAATAATCACAGAGCGACCTGAAAACTAAACTGCAGTAGCGGCCATCCTAAAAAAATTAAATTTATTTCTTAAGTTGTTTTATATTATGCAGTATTTAAATTTTATTTTATTCAATATTTATGTAATGCAGTTGCTTTATTAATAGACTAAAATTAATTATTCTAATAAGTTTTATATTTTTCCTTAACAAGTGGCGAGCGCCCCTCATGATCGGCGCCCCTGACGGGTATCCCCCATGTCGGCGTTGCGGGGCAGGTGCCTCGGTTGCCCCACCCTAAGGCCGGCAATGTTTAACTCTAATAGCGATTTTTTATTTACGGATATACCAAATAGGAATGTACTATGTACTTTTATGAAGTTTAACAGGCTGTATGGTCAAAAAGTTATTAAAAGTATTAAATTAAATAATTTTAACGTACCAATAATGCAACTGTATTAGAGAAATATCGAATGCAATGAAAACAAATATTACATAATACGAAACAGCCTAAGAGATACATTTAATTTTTGAGGGAGACGACATCATTTCCCGGGGGTCGCCGAATGTCTGAGGCCGGTACTGATTATGACGCTTCACTTTTCTAACAAAATACCTAACCCTATAGTTTTAATAAAATTTATATTACACAATGCAATGCATTACAAAAAAATGATTTTCTGAAGCATTTGATTTATTTTTAAACATTTTATATGTTTTATAGCAGAGATAGCATACACAGTTGTGTGACATACCATCTCTACAAAATCCGTGTAGCCGAAAGGCAAGGCAGAGAAGATTAAATAAAATAAATTATACAGTGCATATTTACATACGAATCTTAAATTAGATCATTAAGATTTAAATAACTCTGTTAGTATCATGTAATACAATTTCATATCAGTTTATCTTGAATAAATGCAACTTGATAAACATTAATGTGTATTGAAATGGCACAATCCATTTACACGAAATATGAAATCAAGAAGTACTTAATAGAATATGATTGGAATATTCCAAAAACAGAGACTTGAGTTTGCAAAATACCATAATATCACGACAGGAAAAAAATAATATAACATGCAGGCCAAATATAGCATATAAGGTGTACTCACGTAGTTAGTGATCAATGCTTCTTCTTTAAAGATAAAGGTTCTTAACAGTTAGCATGAATCTTGAGTGAACGAATCCTTATCTTGCTAAACAAACCTTCACTCGTGATAACTTGAGTTTTACTTATTGATTTTATTTTTTATCGAATTTTCTTTTATTTTAACACTGTTTAATACATGAAGTGTGACACCCATAACTTCATACGGAAATTTGAATAAAAATAATTTATTAACTTCGAACTTCAATCAAGTTTTCCGTAATAATACAAACCGGTGATTTATGTTTTTTGTTTGTTTTTTTTAAGTTTCATTTTACGGCAGTGGCCCCGCGACCTTTTATAGTTTGTAAATATTGGAGTTCTGGCAATGGCCAGATTCTCCACTCACGACATGAGTGTATGTGGCTTAAGCACTCTTGCTCAATCTCCACTGGGTTTAGCCCCAGTGACGCGGTTGAGAGAGAAGTGCTGGGATCTCCTGGAGCCATGCTTTTCCCTCCACACTTGGAGGGACAAGTCTGGTTTGGAATTCCCTCACCAGATTGTAAATATTGTATATAGGTATGTATGTGTTCTTTTTATTCATTTATTTTTAGGTTATTGTATTCTTATTTATTGTATATATATTATTTTTCTGTATAATTTATTTTATTTACTGTACATAGAGTGTGAATGTGATCTGTGAACACTATTATAAATGTCCTTGAGACAGATTGTAATATTTTTCAATAAATAAGATTAAAAAAAAAAAAAGTTTCATTTTAACAGTTTTTGTGAAGCTTATAGGAAAAAAGTTTGAATAAAAGTTCTAAGGAACTTATTGCAATAAAGTTCTAAATTTGTAGTAAACTTGTTTTTATTTTTATTTATTTATTTATGATGTTTACAACTGTATTCAGATAGAAAAATACATTCAGTCAATTTAATAACCGAAAATAATAACATGAAAACACTTGTTGAGAAACTACCCACTGGAAGCACTCTAAAAAAAAATATGTATTTACAATAGAAGATCTCGAGGCCATCTTCTTTTCAGACATCTCGGAGGGTTATCAGGGATCGAATAGGAAGCAAGTTTAGAAATGAAAGGTTTCAGATGGTTCTGAAGTTTATTATAGAAGAATAGGTATCTGCATTAGGCAAATTTGGAAACATAAGGAACATTAAAGTCGTTATGGATGATTAGTAAACGTTTAATTTTTTTTTTATTGAAATTGACATTAAATGAGAAATAAACAATAATTGGGCTTAGTCTAGAATGACAAATTATCTTACATAAATTACTTGATCCTAATTTGCCGTTTGTTTGAGTTGTCAATCTTTTTCAGATCGAATTTTGGCCGAAATCAACAGAATTTTTAAATAAAAATTTTACATAAATAAACGTTCCGTAAAACCTTTACTTTTACTTTAGACAAAAGAAACTTTTTATGAAGTCTTGGAGAGAACCTACGATTTCATGCTTGGTGATGATGTGAAAATAATAATGGGCGATCTTAACGCCAAAATAGGTAAGGAAGATTTCTTATGACCCACCAAAGGACCCTACAGTAAGCATGACGAAGAAACCAATGACAATGGGTTTAGAATAGTGGACTTCGCTATGGAAAGGAATATGGCAGTCAGCAGTACCTACTTTCCTCATAGGAATATACGCAAGGAAACTTGGGTATCTTCAGATGGGCAAAGAAGCAACCAGATTGACCATGTGCTGAGCCAGGCAAGACCCGCAACGGACATAGTGGATGTGAGAAGTTTTCGTGGAGCTGCCTGTGGTTCAGAACAGATAGAAAAGATTCCGTTAAGAACCAGAGGTAGAACTGAGAAACCCCTGGCTGAACCAACGTCACGATTTGCCGTTAAGCGTATTAAATAAGAAAATGTGTGGCAGAAGTTTGCAATCAATGTTACAGAGAAGCTCACCAATCACCGGAAAGTACTTATTATCGACTCAAGGCAGAAGAAGATGAAAGAAGCGCTTGCGACCGCAGCGGCAGAAGAGCTCAGTGAAGTTCAGAAACCAGCAAGTAATTACTGATATGATGAGGAATGCAAGCCTCAGGTAGATGCAAGGAATAAAGCAAGGAGGAGAATGCTTCAACGGCTTACCAGAGCTGCTGCCCAAGAATTTAAGGAAAATAGAAAAGAAGCCAAAAAAGACATTTCGTTGGAATAAAAGGTTATCTGACAAGTGAAAAATAGAGGCAATACAAGAAAACTTCGATGTACAGGACTACAGGATATTCTTCAGAAGTGTAAGAGAAGTTAAGGAGGGATATAAATAATTTTGCTAAAGACAAGGAGTGGAACCTTGTAGTTGGAAAATAAGCAGTTATAGATGGGCGGAGCATTTTCGAGAGCTGCTTAACCGGGACAAAACAGAAAATACCGAAATACTTTATAAAATAGAAGTAGACCTCCCAGGTACTAGCCGACGACTACACCCCCCCCCCCAAAAAAAGAGAAAATAATAGAAATTGTGCAGGTTGTGAAGAATTATAAGACGGAATCCAAGCCGAAATTTTCAAATATTGTGGAGATGAAATTTGGGATGAGCTCCATAAACATATTTATGATATCTGGATGGAAGAAGAGATCCCAGATGAGCGGAATGTGTCGGTCCTTTGCCCAATCTATAAGAATGGAGACAAGCTAGTGTAGACAAGTGCAGGAACTATCGAGGCATAGCATTGCTTGGCATAGCTTATAAAATTCTCTCCTCTGCCATTGGTAGGAGAGTGATATCATACACGGGGAGGGAAGTAGCCGAATATCAGTGTGGCTTCAGGAAGGGTAGTTCGACTATTGATCAGATCTTTACCGCACGATAGGTCCTAGAGAAGTCACTGGAATACAACGTCGACCTGCATCACCTCTATATTAATTTTCAGCAGGCATAGGACTCAGTAGATAGGCAGGATTTGATGAGGGATCTTCTCTCTCTGGGTGTTTCTAAGAGTTCACTCGAAGCTCACTCGCTTAGTAAAACTGACTATGGCAGATGCTAGATGCAGAGTGAAACTATAAGGATTGCTGTCTGAGAAGTTCTCTTTGGTTTTGGGCATAATGAAAGGATACACCAAAGCTACGTCCATTTTTAACATGACCTTGGAGACGGCGTCAAGGACCATAAGAACCAACCCGGGAGGTACCATCATTGACCGCTTCACACAACACATGGCGGACGTAGAGATTGTGGCACGGACGCTCCCAGGGCTGGCAGGTGCATTGAAGATATTTGAGACCGCTGCAGCAGATCGAGGTCTACAAATAAACGAGCAAAAGACGATGTACATAAAGAGCTCAAGACATCGCACTCATCAAGATCGGACACTAAACATAAGCCAACAGGAGTTCCCAGTATGCAAAGAGTTCAAGTAACTGAGATCCCTTATAACGGCTGATAATAGGATTGCTGAGGGAAGCCGATATTTTTAGGCTATAGCGACTACTTAGGTTTCGAAGACTATCAAGGAATGCCAGATTAACAATTTATAAAACGATGATTCGTCCAGTAGACACATATGGAAGCGTAGGATTCTTAGGAGAATTTACGGACCTATATGCGAAGAAGGCATTTGGAGGTCCCGATACAATCGGGAATTGCGACAACTCTATAGGAACACAGATCTCGTTAGTGTCATTAAGGCAGGACGCATAAGATGGTTAAGACATGTGGAAAGTATGGCAGCGGACCGAGTGCCAAGGAAAATATTATATGGGCGACCTGGAGGAGCAAGGAGAGGAAGGCCACCCCTCCGTTGGCTGGAGGATATTGAGGCGGATTTGAGACAGCTTGGTGTCAGACAGTGAAGGGCTGTCGCATTGGACCGAGACAAGTGGCGACTTATTGTTGAGGAGGCCAAGATCCCACGCGGACTATAGCGCCTAGGAGTAAGCAAGTAATACCTTCACTTAAAACGTTAAAATGAAAAAAGTTCTAATTCCGAAATAACAGAAAAAAAATTAAAATAAAGATTCGAGTCATTCTGGAACTAATAAGCGACTACCCTCTCCGATAAAATTAGAGAGGGCAAGAATATCGTTTCGCCCATCTCCCCAATATTTCGAGATACAAAATAAAATCAAAATCAGCAATAATTAATCTAAACGAACGAATAAAAAATGTAAAATAAAATCAACTAAGAAAATAGGAAAAGTAGACTTGATGGCTAAGCTAAGGGCTAGAACTAGGTACGCAAGTATTTTAGCATGTACTATGTTCCTATTCTTGAAATTTCAGTTTATATAAAAAGATAATTATACACTGACAGGCGAAAAATTCCACCCACTTGATTTTTCCATGTTTTTATCTATGTATTTATGGAATTTTATAATCTTTTTTATCTTTAATAATAAAAATGTGATTGGGTAAGAAAGATTAGAGAAAAAAAAATTGAAAAACGAACCATTATTATTCTAAAAGAAATTAATTACATCATTGTTTAGTAGCGCGTGTTTCCTTCTCTTGCCTTCACTACCTCTTGAAAACGCCTCGGCATACTTTCTACCAGTCGGGAAACGTCCCTTTGCTGGAGGATAGCCCATTCCTCCCGAAGAGCCCTTTCAAGGTCCTGCAGTGAATCAGGAAGTGTTGCACGCGCTCTTATTCGTCTTCCGAGGTTATCCCATAAATGCTCAATGGGGTTCAAATCTGGAGAACGTGCTGGCCAGGCTGAAACCTCAATAATGTTCTGTTGTAGGAACGTCTGCACTATGCGGGCGAGATGTGGGCGTGCATTAGAATAGAATAATCGCCGATTTCGTTGAGGATAGGCAACACATGAGGTTCCAAAATGACATCTACATAGCGAATAGACGTCAAAGACCCTCCACGAACAACAACCAATTCTGTGCGGCGCTCCATTGAAATCCCAGCCCACATCATTAAGGAACCACGTTGGAAAGGTTGGCTCTGGGAAAAATTACAGGCTGCACATCTTTCGTTTCTTCTTCTTCACACCCTTTCCCGCCCGTCTGGAGATCGAAGAGCGAATCTTGACTCTGTAAAAAGAACAGCACTCCATTCGTCCATAGTCCAATGGCTGTATTCTCGAGCAAAAGCCAGCCGTGTTACTCTGCGAGTTCTGGTCAACTCTGGTCCTTTTACTGGACGAAAAGCCATTAATCCATACTCATTTAATCTTCTCCGAGCAGTACGTTCAGAAATTTGCACACCTCGAACTTCTTCGAACTGATGAATCGCTTGAACAACGGTAAGGTGCCGGTTTCGTAAAATTCTCTAAGTCAAAAACCGGTCATCCCGTGGTTCTGTTACCCTAGGCCGTCCAGAACAGGGCCTTCTATTGTAAGAACCAGTGTCCCGAAAACGCCTGACGGCCTCTCGTAAAGTTTTATATGGAACTCCGTTGGCATTAGCTGCATATCTAATGAAACGTCCAATTCCACACCACGCGCAACATCCTCAGCATTAAGAGACATTTTTAAACTTAATATTGAAAAAATTAAAAGCCGGAGACTAAGAAATGTGCTGCAAAAAACGGCACTGAACTAATGATACTGAATAAACATTTTGATTCCATAGAAAGTAAACATTGGAATCTAGAATCATTTCATTGAATTAAGGATTAAGGGTTATTGTCCTCTATATTAACATTCCTAATTGAAAACAAACAAAAAGATTACCTATTTATTCATTAAAAACAATAAACCAATCCAAAGCAGAAATATTTCTAGATGAAAACATGAAAAAATAAAGTGGGTGGAATTTTTTGCCTGTCAGTGTATGTAGCGACACATCCTTGGGTTTTAAAACTCATGTAAACCGTTTCAATTTAGGTGAAGATTTGATCAAAAGGAATTGGATAACTGAAAGTTCGACTCACTGCATTAAACTTTTGATAGGAGAGAAGAGAAACTCCTACACCTAGATGCAAAAGCAAAGTCCGTTCTAACTCATCTATTTCAGAAAAGGGTAAAAGAAATGGATATAAACAAGCTAAAACGGCAAAGCATACCTCACAAAACTACAAAACTGGTTTATGAAATCTGCGATAAGCAAGTGTCTGTAGAACGGTCAACATCAGTATAAGATAAACCTCCCTGGTTTGAATCTCCGTAACCACAAATTGTTCTGTCCATTCCAAGTATCAAAAGCAAGCAGAATATTTCTCAGGAACTTTTGAAATCTCTTTCGCTTCCACATATAAATACCAAGTATCCGAAAGACTCCTGGACTCGAGTATATACCGACGGATAGGCCACAAATGCAACTACGAACTATGGGGCCGGTATCAATTTACAATTTCCTGCGGGGAATATTATTGAGAAGACAGTTCCAAGGGGCATCAGTTCTTCGAATTATCGGGCAGAGCAAGAAGCTCTCAATGAGACATCGAAACTGATAAGAATACTAAAGAGGCCTAAAAACTCAAAAAATGTATTTCTTACTGATGTAGCGTCAGTATTACAATCACGCAGGTCGAAGTGGAGCAAAAGCCTGAGAAAACTTGGCGAAGATCTAGAAGACTTCACAAGAAAGTTGTCCTACAATGGATCCCTATACACTGCGGCCTCTCTGGAAACGAAAGGGCGCAATTTGATTGCAAGATCAGCATAAACGAGGTAAAAACAATTAATAAAGCTATTATTAACCAACGTTGGCTCAGAAGTCATCTACTTCACGACCCCAGAGATGCTATCTACGGACTGACTCGACGAGATCAGGTCTTGATCTTTCGTTTACGAACGGAACACAACAGGCTCAAAGCTCACCTTTCAGTAGGTTTAAAATTGGCTCTAGTCCCCTCTGCGAGAGCGGTGAGGGTGTACAGAATGTGGAACATATCCTACAAACGTGCATAGCCTACTCCTACTCTCAGCAAAGGAGGGTGATCTGGCTCTCTCCAACTGAAGTGGAAAGGAAACCATACAAACGCCTTAGACCGTAAGAGGACTACCGAATTCTTCATTTTAGTTCCTGACCTAGTCATATAAGGAAGAACGCAGAAGAAGAAGAAGAAGAAGACTAAACATAAAAATATGTAATATATTCAATTGTTCTGTTAAAATATTTTCAAATATACAAATACGCAAAAAAAAAAAAAATAGAAAAAAAATTATATATAATACTAAATCCCAAGAATTTTTTAGAGAGGGTCTATCGTCCTCCCTCCACCCAATCAGCATGGAAAATCTTCACCTATCATGATACTGATTAAAAATTAAATTTTATTTCAAGTCCTGATGAAAAGAGATAGTTACCTTCTTTTGCCTAAAGTTTTTCGGATTCCTTCAACATATTTTCTTGTTTTCTGTTCCAGTTAAAACAAAAGTAGTGAACAGAGGATGGAAACTTAAAATAATCTAACCCACAAATTTACCCAATTAATGCTAGCTTTAACAGACTCCAGGCGTGTTCAAATCGAAAGTACAAGCAGTAATATTTAACTCACTAATCATAAAAGGATTTCTAGAATTTAACACATTGGGCTTGAAATGAAATTTTACCTTTTGTCAGTTTCAATATGTTCAGTATTATTAGAATCTTTATATTAAATTTTTTTCGGATATTTTGAAACTAGAACTTTTTAACTTTTCGAGTAAACGTTTTAAAAAAAGCCTATGTATAAAATATCTTTTATTCTTAGCTAATCAAACAAAGACAAAAATATAAGAATCAAGTAATTCATTTAAGATAAAATATAACTCTGATTTAAGCCGATTACTGTTGATTTCTCATTTAACTTATTTCTAACAACTTAAATAAATAAAAGTTAACCTTTTACCATAAAAATAAAACTTTTATTTGTAAACTTTTTTCCTACAAAGTTTCACAGAAACTGTTAAAATGAAACCTTATAAAAAAAGTAAAATAAAAGTTTCAACCGCTGTGAACACCTTTATACTCTAATAGATTCAAGGCGATCCAAGTCTTTCTGTTACTAATATAATAACAACTAAGTAGTTTCTTTTCCAGTTTTTTAATATATATATATATATATATATATATATATATATAGTATAAGGAGTTGAAGCTTTTATTTAAACTTTTTAAAAAGTTTGATTTTAACAGTTTGTGTGGGCACTTGTAGGGGAAAAGCTATTAAAATAAAAGTTCTAAGGAACTTTTTTGTAATAAATTTTCACGTTAATGGTAAATATATAAATATATAAAGTTTACCTTTATATATTCAATTTCTTAAAAAAAAAAGTTTCGTTAAATGAAAAATAAACATTAATTGGGTTCGGATCAGAGTCATAATTTATCTTAAATGAATACAATTACAAATTATTCTAATAATGTATCATTTGTTTGAGTAGCTATGAATAATTCATTTGTTTAGATCGTTTAGCGAAATCGACAGAACTTTTAAATAAAACCTTAAGGCCAAACCTTTAATTCTAAAGTTGCAAGGGAAAAAGCTGCAGTTTCAAAATAATTGAAAAACTATCGATAATAAAAATTCCGGTGATACTGAAACTTTTTAAAAATAAAAGTTTGTTTTCCGTTTCAAACCCTATACATGTAATTGGAACTGAATATATATATATATATATATATATATATATATATATATATATATATATATATATATACATATTTGAAATTTACAAAAGCGTTTTAGTTTTTGGAAAAAAGAAATAATTTACAAATAGCCGGAAACTTGTTTAAACGAGAACGGAAGTTGACAATGCTAAACGTAAAACGTCTTCCGCTTACGTATTCAAAAAAATAAAGCACAGTCGTGAAGATGAGAACAAATCTTCATAACACAATAACAGAACGATTAACAACTTGTGTTTGTGATATAAAACACCTACTCTAAATGACGATTTGAATGTACGGAGAGAGAGAGAGAGAAGGAAAACACGTACTGCAATTATTGAAGGACACGGTCGAATACTTAAGTAATGACTAAGTAATGAATCAAAGCGGATATGTAAACAACGGATAAGGAGAGAAGGGTAATGAATACAGAATAATAATTTGTGTTGCGCTAGGCGACTTACCTTAAATCTGAGCTCAGTTGGGGACCAGGAGGCTCGTATCCTGGAGAGGAGTTGGTAAGCACATTCCTCGATTCTCTCTTCGTCAAGGAAAAATTCGAAGGAAGGGACCTCCATACTGGCGTTCGTCCTGCAGGCAATCAACAAGCCGACTGTATTAGTCTCTCCCACCGTCAACCTCTCATTAGCCAATAATCGCTCAATGTACCTTCCGACCTCCCTCCCCTCCCCTCACCGCAGAGTAAATTGTAATATCTTTATGAATGAGATAAGAGGAAATAATTATTTTTAATGAATTGACCACAGATTAAAAATTCGAGGAAAGTGTATAGATAGAGATATAAGGGGTACACAGTGTAAAAAAGGAATAAACGAGATAAGATTTCAAGTATTTTATCTGGTACGTTATTATTCTTCTCTAAATGAAGAGGAAACTTCCAATTAATGAACCACACACAAATCAAGGTCGTTGATACCCCCCCAAAAAAAAAAAAAAAAAAATGGTCAATCAATTACTTTTTCTATAATTAAGGCATTACTTTTTAAACTGGTATGGGTTTATTCTTAAAATTATTAGTAAATGATACCTGAAACTAGTTACATTCAAGCAGCATATGGTTTTTTTTTTTTTTTTATTGAGGAAATATATTCGTTGAAAAATAACAAAAACAAAAATAAAAACATTTATATATATATAAATATATATATATATATATATATAAACACACACACCTAAATATAACCATAGATCCTTTTTTGAGTACATCTATGAGGATTTTATTCACTAATTTATATATTTTGCTTTCTCTTTTCCAGTACCGTTAAATTTATTTATGTATTGTTTTATATATTTATTTTAATTTTTCTTTTCTACTACATTTTTAGTTCTGTTTCTGTTAAGTTTCATTAGATTTAGTTCAAAACATTAATTCCATCATGTAAATCAATGTATTTTGTAACAATTTATTTATAAAAATTGTTATAATAACATTGTAATGCACACATATGCTATTACATGTTGTATGCACATTTTTTTTACTTTCACTTGCCTATATATGAAATATATAGGAATACCTATAAAGGAAAGTATTGCGATCGTGAAAATTTTCGAATCTCAGTTTTCAACGGAAATACACGTTTAGCGGTCCCTTGAGTCCAAATAACCAATTCTGGCAAAACAGTCTGTGTGTGTGTGTGTTTGTTAACAGTCTAGCTTAAAAACGAAAAGCCGTACGAAAATGAATTGCATATTCAAGATTTTTATATACTAGGGATGTTACAGCAGCTTTTTCATCAAAATCGCCTAACCGGAAGTGGCACTTCATATCATGAACTAAACACATTTTTAATATTTTTTCGAAAACGGCTCTAACGATTTTGATTATATTCATTATATCAGTGAAAAATTGAGCAGTTTTAAATAAAATTTAGTTTTTATTCTGATTGATGTTCTCTAACAGGGCTTAAATGGCTAATTTTCAATATTAGCTTCCCTTAACGTACCTTAAATTGTTTTTATTTGAAACAATTCGCCATTTCACATTAATCTCCAATATAAAAGATAGTTTAATATACTCTATGAAAGAATTTGATAATTAAGTAAAGGAGAAATTAAAGACCGTAACGGGGAAAAGTTGTAATTGAGGAACCATAGGAATATTAGCACATCTGAGCTCGCCCGAAAGATTAGAACACGCTTCTATAGGTAACATGAGCTTAATACAATATGGACTCCAACAATATTATATAAATATACATATGCGGTTTTCATAAATGCTATTGTTGGTAATAGTTAATACTTAATTGTATAGATTGCAGCGATAATAATATTAAAATGAATAAATATAATAAATTAAATTAAAATAGGATATATATTATTTAATTTTGATTATTGTAATTTTTGGACAGATGTGGTAATTTTTTGTTCATAATTGTTATTCTTAAGGGACCTTGTCCCAGAATATAATATTTAAAAAAAAAAAAAATTACGTATACACGTAAAAATACTCACAATAAAATATAAATAAATATAGTGTCTATAATTTTTACTTTCCAATATTTTTTACAATATAAATAAGTATCCAATTTTTACTTTTAAATAAGTATCTTCCAATTTGTCTGAAAATACTTATTTCTGCTAAGAAGTGGGTAGTAAGTGAAAGTTGCGTGATGCGCGGCACCGCACCAGATTTTTAAAAATATATTCCTTATCTGTAGTATTGATGAATATACATACACAGATAGATTGACAGTTTAGCAATCCGATTTATTTATTTATTTTATGATAAAAGAAAATTGCTGAATAATATAAGTATCCAATTTTTACTTTTAAATAAGTATCTTCCACTTTGTCTGAAAATACTTATTTCTGCTAAGAAGTGGGTAGTAAGTGAAAGTTGCGTGATGCGCGGCACCGCACCAGATTTTTAAAAATATATTCCTTATCTGTAGTATTGATGAATATACATACACAGATAGATTGACAGTTTAGCAATCCGATTTATTTATTTATTTTATGATAAAAGAAAATTGCTGAATAATAAAACAGGTGGTCCAACATAAGTTCTCAGATCAATTTAACAAAAAATAATCAATCAATTCAAATGATGTTTTTAACAATAAATACTTCTTAGATTTCATGATGATTATCACATAATAAAAAAAGTTTTGCTTTAAAGTATTATTAGGATTCGGGAAAAAAAAACGAAAAAAAAAATAAAACTCAAAATTAAAAATTACGTAATAAATTTGTTTCAATATACTCCAATTTAAAAGACATGTATTCCAAATCAGACATTGATTTTTATTTATAACTCTTTGATTTTTTTAAGCTTTTTATTTTTTGTCAAGATATTATTTATTTATTGTTATAAACAGTATAAAACAATAACCCAATATAGACTAAAGGTAAAGTTGATAAGTTAAGTTGGCAAATGATCCACACGATTTAAAGTTTACAAAAATAATTCGAATAAATTATTATTTTTACTTACCTGTACATCGAATATATTATATGGAAAAATAAAGCGATCTAGAAAATTTCTAACCCAATTTTCAACGGCAATTGAGGTTTTAAGGTTTTCTGATTTCAAATAACCAAGTCTCCCCAAAGGGTTTGTGTGTATGTGAACTGACTTGGCTCGACGACTAAATGTCGCATAAAGCTGAAATTACATATTTAAAGTAGATATGCTGCCAAGATATAGCAACTTGTTTGCTAAAATCTACTTACCACTATTATTATTAGTTCTGCACTTAACAAAAAAAAAAAAAAAAAATGAAAAAACGTACTAACGATATTGATTAAATCCGTTATATCAATGTAAAATTTAATAGTCTCAAGTATCCTCTGGGTATTAATTGCTAATTGTCGAATTTACTGCGTATCCTCATTTAGTTCGAGAGCCAGAGCAAAGAAATTGACATTATTTGATGAAAATTTTCAAAACTTTTTTTTAAACATTTATAATTAAAAAATGAGGGTCTGACAGTAGGATTGAAAACTTGGTGGCTACTTAAAAACATGGCAGCTGATTTAAAGAATATTAGGCCAGTAACTTAGCAGAAACAGGAAATTTATTGTAAAAAGAGTGGTAAAAGTTTTAAATTTTTAAACTTATTTGTAGGTCAGTGGAGACCGTTTGAAAGTGAGTCAGAGTTCTAAGGCCACATACACTCAGGATTTGAGTGGAGAACCTGACCACTGCCAGACCTCCGATAGAAAATTTACAAAATATCTTGGGGCCATTGCCGTTTCAGCCTTCGTGGGGGACTATATGAATGGTTGGAGCAGGAAAGGGACTGTGCTAAGGGATTAGGAAGATGAATAAGTTTTTGATAGAAGTTTATGAAACTGGATGGAATTACGTCGAGAACAAATGGGATGTTGAGATCATGATGTAAGGTTTTGCCCACTACCAACTGAATACAAGCAAAAATATGGAATTAATTGATTCATAGATATGTACATGCGGTCAAATTCCTTATAAACAACTTGAAACCTCAAAAATCCCCTGGACACCATCTCTTTACTTCCCAAATCCATAGAAAACTTCCCAAAAAAGCAATCATATTAGTCACATACCTATATAACTGTAGAGCACAACTCACTCTCCTCTGATATGGAAACACTCCATAATCATCCTCTTCCCTAAACCAGGTAAATCTGTTAATAATACATTATCCTAAAGACGTCTACAAGCTTGCTTCCGATCCTCTCAAAAATCTTTGAAAAAATCCTTCTCAATCGTATCCTATCTATTCTCGAAACCCACAATATCCCTTCCCATCAGTTTGGATTCCGCTCAAGACATTCCACTGTTCAACAAGGCCTTCGCGTTGTTGACCATCTATTCTCTGCGCTTGAAAACAAGGAATATTGGACAAGTGCCTTTCTGGACGTAGCGCAAGCTTTCGACCAGGCGATGGCTTGCTTTCCAAGCTCAAAATCAACTTACTCCAATCTTGCAGTATCTAGTCCTAAAATCCTATTTTTTAAATTGTTCCTTTCAGGTCCCCTGCAGCACCAAATTCTCCAATTATCCAGTTGCGGCTGGTGTTCCACAAGGCAGTGTCTTAGATCCAATTCTCTACATCCTTTTCACAGCTAAAAATCAACCAATCCTTCTAGCAACATTCGCTTACGATACAGCCATCTTATCATCTCATCCAGACCCTGAAACAGCATCTATAAACCTACAAAGACACATCTCCCTAATAGAGCAGTGGTGCAACAATTGGCGCATCAAAATCAATTAATCCAAAAGCAAACATGTCACCTTTACTCTCTGACGCAGATCCTGTCAACATATCCTTTTCAACTCTGTACCTCTTCCCATCTCAGACACAGTTCGGTATCTTGCATTCCTTTTACACCAAAGACTAACATGGAATCCACATACCAGACTTAAAAGACAAGAACTTAGCCAGTTATACAGATTGCATAACAGAAAATCTAACCTCTAAATTGAAAACAAACTATTAATATACAAGACCATACTGAAACCCATCTGGACCTACGGACTTGAACTGTGGGGGACAACTAAATTTTCGAATATCAAAAGCATCCAATCTTCCTAATTCAAAGTCCTCCGTATAATAGTCAATGCTTCTCTTTATGTTACGAACAAAACCTAACATCATGAGCTTAATATCCCTTATGTCCTTGACGTTATTCCATCTCGATTCTCAAATTT